GAAGGCAACGACCCACTACAAGTCCGCTTACCTAACTAACCGCTACCCTCCACTGAAGGCCGTTCCACTATCCGCCACCCGTGGACGCGCCGGGTAGCCAGCAGCTAGGCTAACGGGTAACCCGTCTTCCCCTTTCTTTGTTCTGACTGCCCAGTCTTCACTCCTGGCTAGCGGGCTCATTCCTGTCTTTATTCTGATTGGCCAACATTCGGCCTGTTACATTTACCCCACACCATATACGACGCGGTGTCAACATGACTCGTCACATGAACTGTGCTCTCGTCCGCAGTACACGTCCTGCCTACAGACAGTCCTCTGTTTTGCTTACATTACATTCTGCCTACAGGCAGCCTTCTGTTTTACATGCATTACATTCGTCCTGCCTAAAAACTGCCTTACGTTTTCAATACATTACAGAGGTCAAGCCACTGTGTATTGAGGCCAGGATGGAAGAGAAACGGTGCGTGCGTTCGCCTGCATTGAAGTGTCGCGCATCAGTTTGCGCCTGGCCCGAGGCACGCCGAAAACTGCTTTCGCACGAGCTTTTATGCTCCGAGTGACCTCGTCTGGGGCGTCACGAGCTAGGAGGGCGTCGGGCTGCAGAAACACTACAATCGCACCTCGAGACAGAAACCTTCAGGAACCAGTGAGTTCAAGAGTAAGACGAGCGAAAGACGAAGAGGGCACATATTTGGGTTAAATGACTGGTCTAAAACAAGCAATAATGCACGAGCCGCAATCTGTCCACAAGCTGTCATCCAAACAACTGACAGATGGTGAAGTAGGAAGCCGTTTATTGTCAGGTTTGTGGTAGCATAATGACTAAAGCCTCTAAAAACTGTAACTATCGGGGTATGTAGTGCCCCTGTCTGAAGATGCTTTCGAGCATGAATCTGAAACGCCAGGTAAAAATTTTCTTTTCCAAGCAATGGCCTCTGCGTCTTTCCAATATTTACACAGTTAACAGTATTAATAGGGATACATTGACTCCTTCTGTAACCATGGCATTTGGTTAAAATCTGGCCAAACAGACTTGGGAATCTTGAGAATTGAAATAGCGACCGTATTCGGCAGACCACTGCACTCTGAAGGAAAATGAGCATGACCATTTCGCCTCAGTATTCGCGAGATACATAACAGAAGCAATATATGAGATCGCTGGAAAAATAAGTTTATCGGCTTGGAGTTTTGGATTCTGGTCTGAAACTATTATCAGTGGCAACCACAGAAAAGGACGATATAGGTCCAGG